GAATCTATGTATCATTTGGGTTTCCACCCTATGCTGAGAGAAGGGCCCCTTTACTACCAGTTCTAATCTTCTTGTACAGTTCCCTCATTATCTTTCAGTCTGATTGGTAACCTCAGTCAGTTTCAGACCACTGGCAAAGTGCTTTGAAAGGGAAATCAAAGAACACTGCGTTCTCCCATACAAGCTGCCTGATGTCTCCTTTAACCTCTCCTCAGTAACCCTGGCACCCCGTCTGCACTCGTCTCTTACTTCCATGTTGGCCGCATTCATCCCTCATCCTTTCTTTTGTCTTTTTCACAGACATCAGACATGTGACAGTCACATGTCTGATGTCTATCAGGGTTACCATATCTAAAAGACTTGCCTCCACTTATTTAGAGATCATTAATCATCGTGCGTAGGACAGGAGGCCCCTTAATCCAGCCAGTCCTTCCTTCCCCCGGTCTCACCAAGCAAGCAGGCCACAGTGCGGCCCTCCAACCCTATCCCCCATGGTGTTATCAAGTTTCAGCGGTTGTAACTGTAGCACAATAAACAGAGAGGGGAGGAGAATTCAGTGGGTGCAAAGGAAGAGGACGGGAATGAAAAGAAAGAAAAGAGAGGACATAATGTCATTTCCTCTTTCTATTTTATTGGTGGATTCTGTGTAAAACACGCTTCACAGGCTTTAAAAAATAGCATCTATTAGGAGAAGATCTGTCATGATTCAGATTATAAATATAATAGGAAAACAAGGTTATTACAAAATTATGAATGAAAACTTTTACATCTACAGCCTTTAACCTGCCAAACCAATTAGCAGGATTCTAGTTCTGCCCCTACACCTCACCACCGCCACCACCACCCGAAAAAAAAAAATCCTTTTAACTATAACCCAACACTTCATCTGAAATGGACAAATATGCTCACAAAACCTTGGGCTTTGTTGTTAAACCAACCAGGTGCTGCCACTTTCCAGAAGTTGTGGGGTGTTAACTAAAGGAAAACGAGTCCATATCACAGAGCCAGAGAATGTTCCTATTGTGGTGTGGTGTTTGTACAGAGGGGCTGCCTGTTACGAGGGCCAGTGTGAGGCTGACCAGGGGAGTAATATAATGCATACGTGGATCCCCCAGAGCCCATTCATGCTGTAATTGGTGTGGACAGAGCGCTCGGTCTCTGGGTTACAGTTGGGGAACTTCCTCTAATGTCCTGCTGAGAGGCCACTGTTCCCACACCACAAATACTTCAAATAAAATCCATCTAAACCTTGGGGGGGAAAAATGCTGTGCTTTGTAAAAGGTAATACAAAGGCATGTTTAACATTTGTTATTTAGTCAAAAAAAAAAATTGAGTGTAAAGGAATATGCAAATATTGCTACGTCACTAAATTGCTGACTTGCTCTGTTTTGATCAAAATCCCTTTAGTGCCATTTTTCTGTCTCCTGCAGCAAATTCTGGGAGCTTCAAAGGAACAAACACTGCTCTCCTCGTGCATTTCACCGTGGAGCTACAGCTAAATAAGAACCCTTCATTTCATTCTATAAATCTTCCTCTAGCCCCAACATCAGGACTATAATTTAATCACACAGACAAGTCCTGCTTACCACTTTATTACTATTAACAGAGCTAAATCTGGGATTTTCCTCTAAAATAACTCTAAAGCTGTGATAGCACAGCATGTGGTCCCTCTTAAGCTGAAGCTACACTTCCAATTAAGAGTGTCACACTGAGATGGATCTTGATCTCTGACCACGATGTGTGTGGTTTTCTGGTGAGAGGAGAACGAGTAAAACGCTTCGTGGGGCGGGGCGGCGGTTCTCGACTGGTGACTTCACTGAACAGGAGCCTCTCTCTCTGGCTCTGTCCATCACAGCTCGTGGCCATTAATCATCTCAAGTGGACAGCACTGACAGGCAGTTGGCTGCATCACTCTCTGAGTTTCTTCCCTTTTTTTTTTTTTCTTCATCGAGCAACTGTTGCCTCATTTACTGCCTGCTCCCCCACCTTCTCAAAAGCTCACCTCCTGGTCCAAACCCCCATCCCCAATGACAAAGCGGTCGAGTGTCAAACCAAAACAAACAATCACCCATATGCTTAATCGAAACCTTTGAGGTGGTTAAAAGCATCAAGCCACCGCCAAGCTTTCTTTGCAGCAACTGGGGGTGAGACAGGAAAACCTGTAATGGATGTAATGAACAGTGATGTCACCGTAACTCATCTTGGCTAATATCCTCCACCCGCGCTCTTTCTATGTGAGCAGCCTTGGTGCATTTACATGTACATGTCAGGCCATTAGCTAATGTTTCTACCTGGAGCAAATGACTAATATATACATGAGGGTCTCCAGCTGAATGAGGCTGAGCTCCTTACAAGCAACAAATAGCACAGAGGTCAGTGGTGAAAGCTGGCTGGGTTCAGTAATGGATGTAACAAATATTCCTCTGACCCTACAGTGATCATCTGTGACAAAAAGAGGCGGGGGGGTTGTATGTGTGTCTTCTGTCATGTCTGTGATTCAAAGCCCATCAATGGGTTCCCTTTACACTCAGACTCTATTTAGGACAGCTGGTAAAATTCCTCAAGCATTAACGCACAGACGCGCACACACACACAAACACATGTGCCTGTTTTTAAGCAGCAGAGGCAGGAAATGCGAATCCCTCGTAAGTTTTCCTTCCGCCGTTTGCTTCCCTCTCAGGGCTCAGAGGCCCCACGCCAAGGTGGGAAAAGCACTTCACCATTTGTCTCACTCTCGCCAGAGTTTCCACTGGATTTAACTTAACCTCACACTCTGCCTCATTTTTCAGAGTCCACTTGTAATCTCGTTCAATTTAAGAGGTATTTTCCCTTTGCTACGCCCTTCTTAGAAAGTCTCAAATAATGACATTGCATTTAAAGAAAAAAAAAAAAAACAGGCTTCCTAAGTGCTCTTTAATTACAAAAAATGGACTGCAATAATCTTGACAACATATCTATGAAATGAAATGGAGGGAGGAGCCAATGCACAGAAATTAGAGGGTACCGTAAATAAGAGCTTAGTGAGGCTTGCTCTTCATCTCATTTACTCTTGGCACTGAGTGTAAAAGAAATCCAGCCAAGCAATGCCCTATGATTAAGACTCCGGCTTGAGGGACAGCATAGGTCAGCCAAGTGGCTCCTGACTTAAGGGAGGGGTGAAGACAGCACTCTAGTCTAGCTGAAATTATACCCTCTCTTGTACAATGGTTTCATCCAGTCTCTAATGTCATATCCTGCATCTATATTTAAAGCACTGTGCAGCCATGGATATTTAGATTTCAACTTTGCACTTGTAACTGTAAAATAAAACTATTCAAATAAATAACACTTTTTAATCTCACAATATTTTTCCTTTGTCTTTTGCAGTATCTTTCTCTTGTAGATGAGCACTCTGGAAATTTAGTGATAACTGCAACAACTAGCACTGACTCTTGGACTCAACATTGATCGCTTGTATTAATGTTGACATGGGAACCAACCTGAAACGCGTAAGCCGATTCCAGTTACACTCACGATGATTCTGTTTGGAAATGTAATTCAGTTAAACAAGTTAAACACCAAAGAGTTACCAGCTACTGTGCTTCTTCCTAATTTACTTTATGGCAGTATAATTCACAAGTTACATGTTAATTTGTTTGTTTTAAATCAGTGTTATTATTCACTCAATGTTTGTGCTGACTCGTTTCAATCTGCATGAAAAATAATGTGACACTGTAATCAGCTAGTTATCTGCTGTCAGGTGGCGATTTAGTCAGCTTGATGGATTTCTTCATCTGACCAGCGTGAGTAAAGGGTCAGGCAGCCACTCCCAGCGTCTGCCACTGGACAGAGATGCTAACAGGGCCTTGACAGATCCCATCCCTCCCTCTCCTACTCGGCTTAATTCATCACCCACCAAACAAGACCTCTGGGTGGTAAGACCTAACCAGACTCTCAGAAGCTGCTGCTCTCATGCACCTTAGTGGGTAAACACACATATGCAAGTACATACACATAGGTGTCGATGCACACGGGCCCATTTACCCAAAAAAAAAAAAAAAATTGCACAAAGCGATCATCTGTCAGTCCGACAAAACAAACTATGCATCAAATAAAGTTTCACTCATGTACGGTACCCACCACTGAAGCCTGTAGCAAAACATATTGAAGTGAACCACACACACACGCACACTCACAGATTATCATCACCTATCACAGCCTGCCAAAACATAATGTGAAGTATGCACCACTGTAATAACATTGTGATTCACCTTGGGAGGTATTGCTCAAGCAGTGTAATTTGCTTTGCAATAGGTTTGTCTGATAAAAGCCTAAGTGCATTAGCAGCCCTGGTCAGACAGGTCTCGTAAGCAGTGTCAAAGCAGCACAAAGTCAGCTGATCCTTGAAGCCTGCTGGCCAACTAAGCTAGGCCACTGCCAGATCCACTTGACTGTGATGCTACAGAAACACAGGATCAGCTGAGGCAGATCTTACCTGCTGATACCTTAAGGCCTTTATTCTTGAGAGGGGAATTAATGAAGTATTTCTCAGCCAGTGTGTGAGTTGTTTAGTGGCAAAACATGTTTCACTGGCATCAGACACGGAGTTACATTCTGTATGTACTTTCATCCTCGTTGATTTTGTATGGCTTCTAGCAATTGTATGAAGAAGTAATCTATTTGTGCTGCAGGTGTGACATTGCTCAATCAACACTGAAATTCCTGGTGCTCTCTAAAAAAGAAATTAACTTTAGTGACACATCTGTGGCAATTCCCATAGAGTCACACTGAAAGTTAAAGTTTAAAGCACCCCACATGTTTTGAGAGTAGGAATGCAACAATATAATAATTTCCATCTCAGAAAATATTATAACTTTGAAGTATAATGATGATAACTTATAGTCTTCCTTAAAGTCTAAAAGTTATCTAGGTCCCAAATAAACCTCCAGTTCAATGCTCCATCCAGTACATGCCAAGCCACAGGATCTGATATTAGTAAAATAATATTTTTGTGTGCTTACCTCTTTTTTGCATGAAGGCAAAGAGATCATCCAAAAACTCTTTTCTTTTTGGGTCATTATCAAGCTCATACAGCTGTAAAGAAAAATAGAAAGTTATTAGGGTACTGTTTGCTAAAAATAGAGCTGTGTGGCTGCTCAGCCACAACGTCTACTCAATTCAATTTTAGATATAGCACCAAATCACAACAACAGTCGCCTCAAAGTGCTTAAGTATACAGTTTATTGTCCAGTGCTTAATCCTGAATGTCTGTATTTTTCTCTACTGCTCTTTTTAATGTTAGACTATATGATGATAGTTCATAATAGCATTGCAAAACATTGTAATTGCACCATTGTTATGACTCATATACTCTATACATAATGTTTGTCTGGAAGACATTTGTTCTTTTTTCTCCCTGAAATGTTCTTTTTAGAACAGATGCTTTCATCTCACTTAACCGCAAAACATACATGTCAGCAGCTAACTGTTATCTTTGAGGTGTGCACAGATGAATCTTTCAGGCTTCGACACTTTTAGTTCTTTGAAGCTGGCTTAGAGTTTCAGGAACACATAGATCCAGCATTTTTATAGTTCTGCAATTGTATAATACTTCAAAAGGTTGACCTATATACATGTCCCACATGTGCTACTGAAGTGAGAATGAATGTATGTTACCACGTAACTGTCATAAAGGGCTCCTTTTGCTACTTTTGTAACAAAACTTTTGGGATTTTATTTGTTGTTTTTTTTTCCTTGATTTTGTTTTTCACCTTAGCAAAGTCTCTGGAGGCCTCTCCTCTTCCTCTGCTGCTGTCAGCCTCATCTGCCCATCCTGCACTGCCATTCTGCAACAAATGAGAGTAAATACAGATGAGGTCGGTAAAAAAACGAAACAAACAAATAAGCAGGTTTTCACACATCAGCTCTGGATCATTTTAGGTAATTCAAGTTTTGACACAAAACAGGAGACAGTCTGCTTCAGATGCATTCTAACTACTGAAATATACAAATTACTGAAAATACTACTGAAAATGCTCCATTTGGGTGAGTTACATTTAGCTGCACTAATTTCAGGTGGGCAGAATTATGTAATGTCTGATTTGACAATCCCAAACGCGCACATTGTGAAATGCATCTCCACTGGGAAATTTCAACAAAACGTTAAGACTCCAGTCTGTGGGTGCTGAATCGGCTGAGGAGACGACCCTCTCTGTGTTGGACTCAAACCCTTGCCAAGGAGTCCATAACATAAAGAACTTTGCCGTAAAAGTGAATGCTTCCCATTGAACCCACATTCTTCCAGTTTAACATTTGTTTAATCAAGCAAAAACATATACTGCAACACTAATGTATATACAAATGTATTATTTTTAGAAAGCTGACTCATTTCCATGAAAAAAAAATGTATTCATCTGTTGTTACACCAAACATTTATTAAGTTAAGCCTGAATTCCCTTTAAATAGTTTGCAACAAGCTTTGAAAGTGGCGCATTCGCTAAGCTAGATAGGACAAAGTACAATCTGCAATACGCACTTATCAAAACAAATATATACTCAAAGACTAAGGGTGCATAGTCCAGGGGTTGAAGTAGTAACCTCTGGAGTTATGGTACCTCTGAGCTCCTAAATCCCCCCTCCCCCTTCATCCTCAAACATCTCCATTTGACCTAAACCATCTGCATCTGGGCCTGCCCTGCCCCCAACAATGTCTTCCGACCCAGCTGGATACAAGGGCCCCCCATCCTTCAATCTTAACGCAGCTGTGACGGGTGGCCAAGTTCATGGAGTGTAGATGGCAGTCAGGAGGGGCCAGAGAAGGGTGGGCTGGTCAGCAGCCTTGGCGCCCACACATACACACACACACACATAAACTCACACTCACACACACACACGCAAAAGCTGATCAAGGCTATGTGTATGTTTGTGAGTGCAGGAAGGGGGGGGCAACGGCCCCACAAGACGGGAAGGAAGGAAAATAAGGGCAGAAAGGGGTGCACGGTATGTGCCGACTAGGAATGTCTCCTAAAGACAAAACCTATAAAAGCATCAGGAATCAAAACAAGATCCGTTTGGAGGGGGACGTTAATAGCTGCAGCCTGGAGTCTAGTTTCAACCGGGAGCCCATTGGTCAGTGGCAATTACAGGGCCTGAAACAAGAGCCAGGGGGGCAAAGGTTGTCAAGGCCCCTGAGAGCAAGTCATTTTCACCCTCTCACTCTCAGTATGTGTAACGGTTGTCAACAATTGCTCCCTATACAAATACCATCAGCCATCAAGTTGAAAACCTACTGCAAATGGTGGGTTTCAAGGCAAAAGCATGAAGACAAAATGAGACATCTGCTATTTAGAAAGGCAAACATGGTCTGCACCACACCACAAGCACAAACGTTCCAATGCTGTTATTTCTAACAGGGGCAATGACGACATGTGATAAAATGTTGTCTTTTCCTTGAGCAACCATAAAAGGGTTTGTTCGAAAATGTTTTCCCTGTGTAAAAAACGTATAGTTCTAAAGTTCAGTGTTCAAAACTTAAAAAAAAAAAAAAATCAACACTACGTTATCCTACTGGACTTCACAGACTGTGAAGTGTTGTATTGAAAATGTGTGCACAACAAAACCTTTTTCATCATCAAAAACAGCTTCCTATATTATATAATCTCTTATATGTGATCCAGATTAACATATCATGTAAAAGTAAACATAAGGTATGGTACATCTGAAGGGCCTATAGACCTTTGCTCACAATTGACCACGTCTGTTAAACTTTAACCATTATAAATGATTATAAGTGAAGATAATTCACATTGCAGACATATGTAGTCCTACATAGGAAAAAAAATGCTGGCAGCACCTTTTATACAAACAGGATGTTCCCCCTTCTGTGACCCAGAGTTCAATATTTCAAGATCAAGATGGTTACGTTTCTGCACTGAGAGGACACAAAGTAAAACCTATGTTTGTTTATTGATTCATCGTCCAAAAATTCATACTATTTAACAGGCGCTCTTGTTCAAAGTAAATTATTTTGGGACTTGCAACATTACAATTAGCTCCCAGTTCATTGGTGTGAGATGTTAAAACAAAAGAAGCAGACTGTAGCGTCTGGGTTGCAGGCTCGCATACAAACATCACACTTCCCTGAGTGACACTTGTGTCATGGGAGTGCAGGGGTCAAGGTGTTCCTGATGTTAGCCTGGAACAAAGGTCTAATGTGACAGAACACCAGTGTCCAGTCAATGAAAGGCTTACTGCTATATCCTCACTTGTGAGTACATCTAGTCCCACATCTAAAAGACGAATATAAAAATATTAAAGAAAATGCTTTCTACAGTTGACATACTTTTTCTAATCTTTCAGACAATACAACCAGATCTTCTATTACTTTGTCTAATTATCTATTCCTCGTTCAGTTAAAGGAGTAACATCTAATATCTAAGAATTTACTAAAAATGTATTTGCAGACCAGTGGTTATTAACATTTCATTCCCACCTAGTTGCCCACACATATACTTTCTCTATGCCTTAGGCCTATTATTCTCACCACATTGTTCATGTTGCGTGCAAACAGTGACAACAGTGTCGCTTTGTACCATTTATACCAGCGCTGAGGGTGTCAGTACTCTCTGCAGTGTTCTCCTGAATAACCATTGTCAGCAAAAACAAAAGCACATCAAAACCTCCACAACAAGAGGTACAGGAGGAGAAGACGTCAAAACCAGAAACAATGAAACAGAATTTTTTTCCAGAAAGTCTTGTTTTTTCATATCTCTCTCTGTACAACAGTATTAATTTCATGGATCAATAATTTTCTGCATATTTTCATCTAATACCTTTTGTTCCTGACGAAAGCGAGACGATAACTAAATAAAAACTAATGCAAGAGGATGATAAATACGATGAAATGTACTGGCATTTTCATCAGCAAATAAAAACAAGATGAAAAAGCGATTCAATGATCCAATCAGAACTAATTAAGTTGTGTAAAAAGGCAGGAGGAGTTTAGAGGTGATCCAATCAGAAGTAATCTCCTTGTGCAGTAAGGTTAGATGCGCACATTTGAGCTGCTGCCGCAAAGACATGTAGTGAGGGGGGGAGCTCGCGTGCTCTCAGTTTCTCATGAAAACGTGACAAAATGTCAAGAATGTCAAGATTTGGGAGGAAGAGAAGAGTAGACACATGGACACATTCAACATTTGATGTCAAGGAAAATAAGAAGCTTTGTAAAACGCGTGGAACAACTCTCCCTGGAAAAAACATGGCAAACTTTTACACTTGAGACTTTAGTGAGCTGAATCAGTGATAATCTTATGATAATTAGGCTTAAATCTGACTAAATATCAGAATAAATGCCGAAATTATGACTAAAAATAATTGGCATTTTAGTCAAAAGACTATGACTGAAACTAAAACAAAATTTGCTGTCAAAATGAACACCGCTACACAATCTATGAATCTCTGAGCTTCTGTACTGAAATATCATTAAAATGGCAGCAAAACTAGTCACAGCTTAAGCAAGGTTTCAAAAACTGAGATGCGTACGAGCGGCCAAAAACACACCAAAGTGCAGCTTGTGCCAGTTGATGTGAATTTAACTTTTTGTGGTGTTGTTTGTGAGGCTGAGAACAACGCACATAAAGGGTCCATTACAGTTTCACTGTTGTAAACAAAGGTGAAAGATGAGGAGAAATTTAATAATGTGACTACTTTAAAGTTTATATGTTGTTGTTTTGTTTTTTTTTTATTTTAAAAACACACAATACAACCACACATTTAAAACCGACACAAACACACACATTCGACTACTGCAACTGTGGAGTGCTTTCCTGCTCTAAACCACGACCGTCAGTTTTTCCTCTTCAGCTGCAATAAAGGAAAAGTGGAGTGGATGATGTGATAAAGAGCAGATGGTGGCCAAGATAAAAACAGTTAACTGCAAACTAACATGTGATGAAACAGACAACGACTTTAAAAGGTATTATCAGTTACTTCAACTAGACATCTTAACCAAAGCCACAACAACTAACTGCCTTCCTGCTAAAACGAAATGTCTGCACCACTTTGCTGGATCAGTGTTGATGTTTTTACAATAGTTTTTTGGTCTTTGAACCAACAACTTCAAAGTAGAGGCGAAATAAGACATCGGTTTTTGGCTGACGGATAACCATTTCCACATATATTGTCCAATATGTCTGGATATTAATATTTTTTCCATTTTGTCACCAGATTATATTACAGAAGATAAGCACTGATGATATTATAAACCGTCTTCTCACATAATGTATCCATCAGAGTAGCTTTGACTCTAATCTGCAGTAGGGATGAATGAAGTGAAAACTGAATGAAGGAAACTACTCTTAACTAGGGATGAACGTGGCATGCTGAACAGAAGCCTAAATGTTGCTTCCCTCACTAGTTTTCAACAGAAATTTTCTTCTTTCTATCCGAGCCAGGAAGCTGTAAACAAGCAAGGTGGAAAGTAAGACAGTTCACAGCCATAGAAACAGCATAGCTCTTCAGCACTTTGAAAATGAACAGTTGTACCCAGCGTCAGAGTCAGCAAGCATACAAGCAAGAAAAAGAAAAAGAAAATAGTAAGGAAAAGAAAGCTACTTCTTGAAGAATGTGATTAATGGTTTGAAATGATTGAAATGATTAACACTATTAAATTAGTCATTCGAAATATTCTAACTCTCAGTGATGCCTGCAGCACACAAACGTACATAGTGACACTCCCCTGTTTTCATGATAGGTTCCTAATTATTTAAACACTATTGGAAAATCTATTAAAATGTGACATAACAAAAAATGGAAAATAGTGTCACACTATCTTTTTGTATATGGTAAA